ATCGTGAAAAAACCCAGCGGAAACAAATGTCTCCACTCCACCTTGCCACAGGTGATTCTGAAATAACACTCAATGCAGTTTTGAAACCACTTCAATTTTGAAACCACTCAATGCAGGATCATATTTTTTCTTTGCGGTCTATCGTTTGTGTGACCCTCTTCTGCAAGAGAACACTCGTCGCCACCGAAATGCAGTCTTGAAGCCTAATGCGATTCGTGCTTGTAACATGTTCTGAGAAGAGAAACAAAAAAACACTTCAGAAGAACTTCAACATGTGTTCATGCAAGAACAGATGCCTCTGTTGACCCATTGAGTTCCGAGACTTGTCGCTCCGCACCTCAGACATCATCGAGTACCCCCGCGCGCTGCGGGAGCCCAACGTGCCCACCTGCCCAGTGTAGGCGGGGTTCGCAGTTCGGTTCGTTCGCGCAATCGCAGAACTCAGTCGATACGCCTCGCATGGCATCAGATGAAGACATCCAACTGGGAGGTTGGTACTCCACATCCAACTGGTATGGAGTACTCCATGACGAAGTATGGAGGTACCTCAGTCCTGGAGTACCTACCTTGGCCCACCTGAAGGGGCCAGCGAGCGAACCCATCGCGGCGTTGTCAAATCAAGTGGTTCATAGGGAACAGACCAAAAAGGACGTACCAGAACACCCAGTTTGGGGTGGTTGATGGACATCCCTCAACCTCTAAGGGGATATTATTAGACACCCCTGGCCGGGGACCTGGCATAGTCCAATTGGCCAATCTTCTAGCAAATCCGCAGTAGTCCAATTCAGGATGAGGATGAGGGCCAGGTTCGAAAGCAAAGAGTTCTAGCCAAGATTCTTCAGATACTGGATAACCTGAAGAGAGAGTCCTTTTGAGCATGTTCAATCTCCAGTTGGTCAGACACTTGTTTGATTTGTCAATCTCACCAAAGGGATCGATCACATCTAAAACATCCGGCGTACACACGAGTATGAAAATATCGGTGGAAGACCATATTGATCACCCTTCCTCCATGTCCTCACCTGAGCTGCGCTGGCCTGTCAGGCGAGGCTCTTCTTGAGCATTAGGGACATGGTCAAAAGCTAAAAAGTATCACATACATATTGGCGTGTACTGTAATGTTGCGACTCCCTGGCCCTGGCTGGGTAGACTGGTGTATGTCCCAAACCTTTCAGGGGGTCGTTGCCTGGGAAGTCTCCCTTTTTTGAGATACACATCCATATGCCATTTGCCACAGGGTTTGATGTCCGGACTTGGACCGGACATGATCAGGACATATTAGCAGAAGACTTGTGTGTGGATTGGTCACCCAAACATGCCAAGAACCAGGCACCCGTCACGTTGGATCAGGACCCGTGGACCCATCGGTTTGCACAGATCGGAACGGATCGGATCGGAACGGATCGGATCGGATGCTTCGAAAGCGAAGCAGAAACCTGGTGGATGGGTTGGTCTTCGCGAGCACTTGGTCTTAGGCTTTAAAATAACTCCAGTGACCACTTTTTCAACCGCATTGGATGAACAGTTGAAGGTTCATCCTCACTAGAGCTACTCAAAGAACGCAACTAAAATAAATCAAGGCATCCTCTTCATCCTCGGTACTGTACATACACTCCATTCATCTCGATGTTCCATCCGAACGGACACCGAACAGGTCACGGAACTGAATAGGTCCTGCGCGCTTTTTGGGAGCCGAAATCGATGATCCACCGGGTCAACCTGCGTCGTTGAGACGAAACACCGTCAGGACGTCAGGAGTTCAAGGTGAAGTTTTTTCTGATCTGGATGTGATGAAGACCAGGATTCCAATTCCCAACCTTCCAACATGTTGCAGCACTCATGCGCACATGGAAATGGAGAGAAAGAGAAATATAAAAATAGAAAAAAACAACAACAACCTTCCTATCTGGGATCTTTCCGGGGGCCACCGGGCACATCTGTCCAACCCCAAAGGTCCGAGTCCGAACGTTCCCGCGCCCCCCAGTCGCCCCACACCTCGCAGCCGATGCCAAAGTCCTCAACGGAAAAAGAGCCACAGACGAACCCCCCCAAGCAGTTTCCTGTCAAATAGAGGTTGAATTGCACTTCCTGACACCATCATGGAAGTGGAACACAGCCCCCCTGGAAGACACAAAAAAACAAATCCGTACACAAACCGAGTCTGCTGGTGGAGAAAACCATGATAGTCTGAGGGAGTGTCACCGAACGTTCCATCTGGTCTTACCCTTGGTACGGACACTTGCCAATCCCCTGTTCAAGTGTGGTGCTGATGTTTTACCGAGTCTAGGAGGATAGATGTCAGAAAGCCCACAGACTCCTTTCCATGGTCCGTCCTTTGATCGGCACCGGGAGACGGAACGCAAAGGAGACGCAAAACGGGACATCTTCGACCGCTGGGCAACCCATAGGGCCCATGGGCTTCGCAAAGAAGACGAGCCGGGACGTCTTGTTTGTGCGAAAACTTGGGAATTAGATTGATGGCTAAGCCGCCTAATTAGCTGTATTTTGGGAGGACATCAACATCATCCAACGTCTGAATCGATTTTCTCTTCAGAGAACTTTGAAAGAGGAAAGATGAGGAAAGCTCCAAAGCACGACTTGCCCTCGGCGTCTCGATGCCCTCGGAGTGGCCCTCCCCTCCGAGGCCGCCACATACATGCTGCTTCGAGCCAAAGGCAGCGCCTGGTCGACGGGACGGGGGGGGTGAAGGCCTCCTGCGCTTTTGGCCCAAACCAGAAGTGGTCGATGAACTGGGACAGTGGACATCAGTGGACTATTGTTTGGGCGGTCGAGGGTAGGCTTTTTGGCGCAGGTCCTGGCACTTTCGCAAATCCTTCGTCGTTCTCTCTCTCTCTATCTTCCTGCCGCTCTAAGAGTCGGCGTTCGTCAGATTTTTGTCGAGGTTGTTTGATGGTGACCAATCCCTCCAACAAAACTGCGATAATGTGGCGAGCAGTGCTTTATTTTACAGCAGCTCTACTAAAGAAGCAGGGTGGATGGTGCAGACAGGCAGTGGCCGATAGCGGTGGCCGTGGTCCTCCACGGATGATCGGGGGCCGTCCTTGAAAAACAAAGGCCGCTGGGTCAGACTCAACAAGGCCGTGAAACCTTGGACCGCGTGGAAAGCAGCTTGGACATTCACTCCCACCTCTGCATAGCTGGCACGAGCGCCAACACCAGAGGCCATTGTGCCCATTGGAGCAGCCTGCATCGATTGATACTGCAAGGGGCCACAAACAGCAATGCTACAGTACAATGCGTTATTTGGCAGTGGATAAAATCTCTATCTGACTCTATCTCCCACAATCGCCTGAAACACAAACGAATTTTTCGCACTATTTAAGAACTTGGAAAGTGTTGGCAGAGGTGGACTCGCTCTCATTGAAAACACATGTCTTTGGCAGCATTGTGAGTGTTAACAGAGAATGCTTCAGAATGCATTGGACTGTCGAGAAGCAGCGTCGTGCAATTTCGGGCGCCAAAGACAGCCTCCCCATACGCACTTCTGGTGCCCATGCCAATGGCTAAAGGAGCCTTCGAAGAAAGACTGCTTCAAGAAGTTGTGTTTGATGAAGGCTGAAAGAAACTCTCCTTCTGTAGAAACCCTCGGAAACGCTTATCTTGGAGAGTGCGGACAAAAACAGCTTGAACGTGCACATCATGCGCACCTCTGCATAGCTGCCACGAGTGCCAACGCCGGATGCCCTTGTGCCCATTGGAGCAGCCTGGATTGCGTTGTACCGTTCAAGGTTACAAACCCTCTTGGCTTTGAACGTACGTGCTCCCTTCGGTTCAGAAAAGCTGCTTGTAACTCACCAATGACCGGTGCTAATATGTGATACAGTGATAATATGTGTTACTGATACTGATGAACGGAGGAAGGACTCAGAATGCTTTTCAATGTCCAAGACAACCTTGCACAACCTCGCACTTCACACGCAGCCTCTGCGTAGGTACTTCTGGTGCCCATGCCAATGGCTAAAGGAGCCTTTGAGCAAGAACAAACTCTCCTTCTGTAGCAACAAAATATAGTTTGGACCGCTTGGAAAACGGTAAACAGCTTGGACATTCACAGCACTCTCACCTCTGCATAGCTGGCACGAGTGCCAACACCAGAGGCCATTGTGCCCATTGGAGCAGCCTGCATCGATTGATGCCCCAAGGGAGCACAAAAAATAATGCTACAGTACACTGCGTTTTGCTATTTGGCAGTGGATAAAATCTCTATCTGACTCTATCTCCCACAATCGCCTGAAACACAAACGAATTTTTCGCACTATTTGAGAGTTTGGAAAGTGTTGGCAGAGGTGGACTCGCTCTCATTGAAAGCACATGTCTTTGGCAGCATTGTGAGTGTCAACAGAGAATGCTTCAGAATGCATTGGACTGTCGAGAAGCAGCGTCGTCGTGCAATTTCGGGCGCCGAAGACAGCCTCCCCATACGCACTTCTCGTGCCCATGCCAATGGCTAAAGGAGCCTTCGAAGAAAGGCTGTATTTGATGAAGGCTGAGAGAAACTCTCCTTCTGTAGAAACACTCGGAAACGTTTATCTTGGACAGTGTGGACCAAAACAGCTTGAACATGCACATCATGCTCACCTCTGCATAGCTGGCACGAGTGCCAACGCCGAATGCCCTTGTGCCCATTGGAGCAGCCTGGATTGCGTTGCACCGTTCAAGGTTACAAACCCTCTTGGCTCTGAACATACGTGCTCCCTTCGGTTCAGAAAAGCTGCTTGTAACTCAGCAATGACCGGCGCTAATATGTGATACAGTGAGAATATGTGTTACTGATACTGATGAACGGAGGAAGGACTCAGAATGCTTTTCAATGTCCAAGACAACCTTGCACAACCTCGCACTTCACATGCAGCCTCTGCGTAGGTACTTCTGGTGCCCATGCCAATGGCTAAAGGAGCCTTTGAGCAAGAACAAACTCTCCTTCTGTAGCAACAAAATATAGTTTGGACCGCTTGGAAAACGGTAAACAGCTTGGACATTCACAGCACTCTCACCTCTGCATAGCTGGCACGAGTGCCAACACCAGAGGCCATTGTGCCCATTGGAGCAGCCTGCATCGATTGATGCCCCAAGGGAGCACAAAAAATAATGCTACAGTACACTGCGTTTTGCTATTTGGCAGTGGATAAAATCTCTATCTGACTCTATCTCCCACAATCGCCTGAAACACAAACGAATTGTTCGCACTATTTGAGAGTTTGGAAAGTGTTGGTAGAGGTGGACTCGCTCTCATTGAAAGCACATGTCTTTGGCAGCATTGTGAGTTTTAACAGAGAATGCTTCAGAATGCATTGGACTGTCGAGAAGCAGCGCTCTGCATTTTCGGGCGCCGAAGACAGCCTCCCCATACGCACTTCTGGTGCCCATGCCAATGGCTAAAGGAGCCTTCGAAGAAAGGCTGTTTCAAGAAGTTGTATTTGATGAAGGCTGAAAGAAATTCTCCTTCTGTAGAAACACTCGGAAACGCTTGTCTTGGACAGTGTGGACAAAAACAGCTTGAACATGCACATCATGCTCACCTCTGCATAGCTGGCACGAGTGCCAACGCCGGATGCCCTTGTGCCCATTGGAGCAGCCTGGATTGCTTGATGTTGCACCGTTCAAGGTGACTGTAGCCGGGATTCATAAACCCTCTTGGCTTTGAACGTATGCGCTCACTTCGGCTCAGAAAAGCTGCTTATAACCCAGCAATGACCGGTGCTAATATGTGATTTGTGTTTCTGATGATGAACGGAGAAGGGACTCAGAATGCTCTTCAATGTGTAAGACAAGCTTGCACAACCTCGCACTTCACGCACAGCCTCCGCGTAGGCACTTCTGGTGCCCATGCCAATGGCTAAAGGAGCCTTCGAACAAGAACAAACTCTGCTTCTGTTGCAAAAAAACAAACCATCGTTTGGACCGCTTGGAAAGCAGCTTGGACATTCACAGCACTCCCACCTCTGCATAGCCACGAGTGCCAAGACCAAATGCCACTGTACCTATTGGAGCAGCCTCAGCGTGCTTTCTCGGCCCCCAAAAGGACGCACGAGCTCAAAAGGATGCACAGTCCCTTGAGTCATCTTGGAAGCAACTCCACGTTCCTCTCTGGCAAAGGGGGTCCTTTCCTGGTGCGGTCGACACTCCAGTCTTGGCCAACTATGATCAGTCGTCTGAAGGGATCGCGGAAATTTTCAGGGCTACACTCCCTGAAATACATCATCATGTCTTTGTGGAGTTCACAACTTGTTTGGTCTTCGGATTTCATCGTCATGCTTTTGGGGCCATGCCATGGGGACTTAACCACAATGATGATTCCAGGGAGTGCATTCTTCTCGCAGAAGAGAGGGAACTTGTGGTTGCGAGGTACTAATGGCAGACTGTGTTCATTGATTTTTAATCAATGTTCATTGATTTCCATTGAACAAAGGATACATATAGAAGTATGCATACATATATACAGTACGAACAATCCAGACTGAAGACTGAAGACTGGCACCTTGCAATGCAAGGAGATCAACATAGTGACAGGGTCCCAGTTGCGGGACAAAAAATCTGGATGCTGGCCAGTCTTGAATCTTTTTGAGATCCATCTGGATTTGTTAGAAGATTCCTGGATTCCTTCTACATCCCCTGCACAAATGGTTGCAACTCGTCCACAAGTCTGAAGCTTCTCGGTCGTACCGGGGAGCTGTGTTGCTTATGCAGTTGAATGTCCGGAAGAGCCCTTCCCTTTTTCCACAAGAAGGCTGATTCACATGAAACGAGCTCATACACCGCGCCCCAGAAGAGAAGCATGGAAGTGCAACCCCCCTGTTTTTATAGAGGAACATCCTCTTCCTTGCAAGCACACAGTGTCCACTTCGATGATTATTGGAGGGAAGGTAGACACGACTCTTGCGACTCTTGTACAGTATCAAACTGCTTTTTATGGATTGCCTGTTGTTCAACAAATCCCCTCAAGCTCTGCTGCGCACCCCCAAAATGCTTCACGGTCAGCGTCCGTTGGGCGCTCTTGGTCTTTTTTCTCTTTTCCCAGACCGCCTCCATCGCAACCAAGTCCTTGGTGAAACGTTGGGCGTGACGCACGTCGGCAGGTCCGAAGACGTACGGCAGAGAAGCCAATGGGGCCCATCGACCCGGAAGCCCCGAGGTGTTGGTTTGCGGTGAATGTCCATCACCGGAACCGGTCAAGTGAAGTGCTCGTGCTCATGCGCTCCAGGCCAAGAGTCGGTGGGTCAAGAGAAGTTGCACCAGAATTTGCATTTTTACCTCAACCCAAAAGTGTCCAAAAGAGCAAATATAGCAAGCTTGCAACATCTGTCCTAACCCATTTGACCCTCCACCCGCGGCGTCCCGGTTCAACGAGAAATACAGAACACGTGGCACCCAAGTGTCGTAGGATGCCAACTGCTCCACTCCCTCCAATCGAAAGCCACTTGAGGCCAACAATTCTTGGTACTCCTCAGGCTCAGGAGCCAGAAAAGAAACTACTAGGAGCATCTCGGGCATCGCTACGAGTCCGGAGCGGTCGGACGCTACTAGGAGCTTCTCCCGATGGAACCGCCCGGTTCAGGGTCCGAACGGGTCCGGTTCGCTGGGTTCGCTGGGCGCCGGTGAGGCTAAACGGGTCGGGGCCCAGAGCCGCACTCGTTGGACCCGTTCGATGTTCACGAGGCACTCGAGAGTCTAGGGAACCGTGGTAACTGTCACGACAATTCAACCCTTGGAAGAGAAGAAAAATTTTTAATGAATAGCTCTTCCTACTCTGAGGTTGAGTCTGAGATGACCCTGGATGACCAAAACATAGGACGCCCATCAAGAACATCAAGCGGAGAGAGGACCAAACCCCGGAAGGGGAGCAGGCTGAGCAGCGAACCCGCGGCACCTGGTGCCGATGGAACGACCGTCAACATGTCCATTCGGCTGCATGTTTACAGCTGCGTGGATTCCAACACACTCATACCTTTTCAGACAAGAAGGGTGCAATGCAAGGCGCACCTAGGATTGAGTAAGCTTCCCCTATAAATCAAGCCCGTCTCGAGCCCCCAATAATAAAGGCCGGGCTGTCAAAAAGAAAGTAAATGAATATATATATATATATATCAAAAAAAATTTCTATATTCCATCAAAAAGAACAGTTATTGGTATCAAAAACCAAATAGCCTTTCACAAAGAGCTGCGCCTGCCACTGCGAACCACCTTGGCAGCGCTGCGCGATGTGAATCTGAATGCGCAGATTTCGTGGCAGGCGCAGCACTTTGAGCACCTCCACCAGCACATTTCGTGGCAGGAGCGGCACTTTGTGCACTGGAAGTGCAGGTTTCGTGGCAGGCACAGCACTTTGAGCACCTCCAGTAGCAGGTTTCGTGGCAGGAGCGGCACTTTGTGCACTGGAACTGCAGATTTCGTGGCAGGCGCAGTACTTTGAGCACCTTCAGTTGCAAGGCTTCTGGCAGGCGCAGCACTTTGTGCACTGGAACTGCAGATTTCATGGCAGGCGCAGCACTTCATGAACCTCGAAGTGCGGATTGCGTGGCAGGCACGGCGCTGGGTGAACCTCGAAGTTCAGATTGCGTGGAAGGCGCGGCGCTGGCTGAACCTGTCTATAAGCGCAGACTTCGTGGCAGGCGCAGCGATTGCGAACCTCGAAGTGCTGATTGCGTGGAGTGCGCAAAATTTCTGTGGATCTCAAGACCGGTGAAAAGAACTCTTGATCTCTCTGGATCTGAACATCTTTCTACACCCTCTGCAAGTCTAGACCCCTAGAACTTAGATTTCAAGACCTGCCTGGATCTCAATACTCAAGACCTCTAAACCTCCATCTTTAGGTCTGTACACCTGCAGATCCGCCTGGATCTCCTTTGTAGATGTAGACCTCTCTGCATCTCAACCGTGATCTCCCTCAATTTCAGACCTCTAGGTTTCTGTAGATGGATCTCAAGACATCTCTGAATCTCGAAACCACAAGACTGTGGTGGCTCACAAAAGGTCTGCCATGTTGGAATGGCACCTTGGTCTGCTCCTGGGCTCACAAAAGGTCTACTGCTCCTCTAGGTCTGCTACCTTGGCGTGACACCTAAAGTTTATCCCTGGGTGGCTCACAAAAGGTCTGCTACGTTGGAATAGCAAATTCTACCCTCGGGTTGCTCGCAAAACAAAGGCCTGCTACGTTGGAATGGCAACTTCTTCCTCTAAATTTTAACCTCGCAAGGCTAACAAAGGGTCTGCAACGTTGGAATGGCTCCTTCCTCTTCTAAATGTTGCCCTTAGGTGGCTCACAAAAGGTTTGCTACCTTGGAATGGCACCTTCTTCGTCTAAATTTTAGCGTCAGGGTGGCTCACAAAAAAGGTCTGCTACGTCCGGTGATAAAAGGTCTGCTACAGTGCTTCACAGGATGTATGACCAGATTTCCAAATCACCTTGAACGCCTCTTGCCTCGAAAGTACAGACCCAAGGACCCGAAGACCAGGACGAAGGACCAAAGGACCAGAGGACCATAGGAATAAGTTTTTTCAGTGATAGGAATCAACGTTCTTTTTGATAGGTATCCCAATAATAGACTAATTAAAAGCACACTGACCTCCCTTTAATAAACATGTTCCTTGGCAAAACCCCCCTATTAATCAAGCCCATCTGCCCCTAGAAAATCCAAAAAATAGTTCATTGGTATATTGTTTAAAGCTACAATGTAAGCTGCCATGCCCTTATTAAATTAGTAATTACACTAAACTCTGTGAAATATTAAGGTGTGGAAGCTCACAAAGGGTACCCCATCAAAAAGCCTTATGATGGTCCTCATGGTTCAAACTCGCATGGTTCGATAATCAGGTCATCACCTATGTCGTCTCCAATACCTCCAATCTCGAACCTTGTTGACCTTGAAGGGGGGGTGATTAATCCCAGGTTGACATTCATTGAATACGAACAAGGTACAGCCGCGTGTGTTCAAACATGTTTAAGCTTCAAACAGGTCGGCGCTGCTCCCAACGGCCGACGGGACTCTAAAACGGCCGAGCGAGCCAGCGAAAACCCAGGTGTCCCCGGCCGAGATGATCCGCCGCTCGCGGCCACCGTGGATTACCCACCTGAGGTTGCGTCAGGAAGGTGTCGGGAAATAGACCAGTCTAAGTCTACCCAGCCGGGGCCAGGGGAACAGTCCAAGACCAATATAGTGAATTGAATTGAGATGAATTGACGGTGGCACAAATGTCCAGTCGGTCGGCTGTTGCTTTGCACTCGCCATCTGTCTAAAACAGGCCAGTGCCAGTGCCATCGAACCTCTGAGACCACTGCTAAAAAAGGAGTCTGATTAGGAGGACCTGTAAGGACAAGTATGAGCGCAGCTCGACCGGAAGAACTATGAAGGACATTCCCTTTCAAGTCCCCCGAAAGACATCCAAAGAATGCAAAGAACATTATGTTTAGAGAATCCGAAAATCAGGTCATTGAGGAGAATCCAGGTCCTAAGCTAAAGCTTATCAAACTCAAGGTTGCTGAGCAACCTTTCGTGATTTGACTCCATGGGCATCTTGCAATCCTCTGTGCCGGGCGTCAGCGACGCATCATCCCTCCGCTGCCGTGCGGTGTGGGCGGCAGCAGTGCGCTCCGCAGCTTCTGGGAGGACCTGGTGGAGAGGATGGAAGAAATTCCTGCACCGCTTGGCAGTTGATCCCATCCCCAAAAAAAAGGAACTGATTGTTGATCAGTTGTTCAGTGAACTGTTGATTAGACTCAGTGGCACAATTAGACTCAGACAGTTCGCTGTTGATTCATCCCATCCCCCCAAAAGATTCGGGATCAGGATTGTGAAAACTCTACATGGACGCCCCATGGGCCACCAGGACGATGGGCCATCACCGGAAAACAAAAAATAAACAAAAAAAACACCATGGCACACCATGGAGAAGATGCACACGATCCACCATGTTTTGGGACTCTTGGTATTTAGATGTATTTAGTACTTGGATCCAAAACGGTTTTTAGAGTCCACCTGGAGGATGCCTCATCGACTCCCCACTGGCTCGCCCAAGAAAGGCAGACATGGGAGCATGGCAGAGCTATCGAAGCCTTCGCTCTCGATGGGCCACGCCAAATGGCCCCCGCCCAACCGCCCTGGGATCAGGGATCGGGTTGAACTCCAAAGACTTGGACCCAGTCGGCTCCTCGCGACCCAGAAGCTCCGGCCTCGTTGGTCCAAATCCCCGCCTCTTCCACCGCTAAGGGCCTTGTGGCCAGCCGGGTTCCAAAGACAGCGAAGCCTTAGCCAGCGAAGTCGAGGAGAAATCCAACTCTGCCAGCCTGCCAGTGTCAACAGTCACCACCAAGCGCTGGGTGAAAAAAGACTGGTGTTGAAACCCTCCAGAAACACCACCGACTGGCTGTTCCCAACCGCATCCACCTACTCTTTTGTATCTCTTAGACGGTGTTTCCTCCTGAAATAATATCGTTTGAACTAATTCACCAATCGGCCCGTGACTGAGACTTGGGGGTAGGAGACCCTGGCTTGTGACAAGAAACCACCGCTTCATGTAAGTTCTTCAGGATGAGGCCACACCTTGCAGCGGCGCCAAGTAGGCACAATGCGTTCAATTCACCGTCTGGCTATTGGACATGATATCACTAGTTTGATCAATGTTCAGTCTAGTTGGTGCAAGCAGTTGCCCTTCACTTTTCATTTTGCCTCTACAACAACCAAGCCAGGGCCAAAGCCACATGTGGAACGGGCACGTGCCGGCACACAGGAGTCCACCAGCTGCACCCGAAAAATCCCAGTGCACATCTTTTGTTTCAGGCTGGGCGGTCTGATCTCCGACCGACGGAAACATGCCTCTATTGGTATGCCTAGTAAGGGACTCGCGCTGAAGGGTATGAGTCGGGCTTTGCACAGGAGTGTCACTGATGGTGGAGTGAAACATGCCGAAACTCAACCAAACAAACCGTCACAGCCAAACCAACGAAGAAAACTTGGGGTTTCCAGGGCCTCTCATAGGACCAGTCATGGAGCACCCACTTCAGGATGTAGACCTGTCCGGCAGGCAAATCATGACAATGAAAGCATTGACTCTACAAGAATCAGCTTCCCAGGACATCCTCACTGTAAGTAGAGCTTCTAAGCTGAGGCTCAGCGCTGCTTACGAAGCCCTCCGCCTGAGCATCCCCAGGAAAAGCCGCCGCTCCAAGACGGGGCGTGAAGAAATCACTGTCTGAGCGGCTTGGATTTGGGGACTTTCTTGGGGTGCTCTGTGGCCCACCATGTGACAAACCTGCGCGTGAAGAGGCAGAGCGCACAAGAAAGGACACCGAAGCTGGTCACGAGGGCGAAGCTTCCAGCACTGCCACACTCTCAACGCAAAGAGCAGCAGGAACCCATGGCAAACTCTGTTCTCGCCTAGAATCGCGCAAGGGACACGAGGACCAACCGTTTTGCGTGGGTATCGTTTGAAAAAGCCTGCAAATGTGCTCCAATCACCTAACCCAGCTGAGGCAACCCAAGCCAAGAGCTGCACTGAATTTGTCTGGACGATGGAATACTTTCTTCTCCTGGTCGGACTTGAGCCGTCCTGCCATCGCGCACTCAAGAATCACCATCGCAGCCGAAAACTCAGCTCTGCTTCGAGTTGTTCAAATATCAAGGTGGCATTCAAAGTTGCAGGGTTTTTTCATGGACTATAGAAGGGAGTGCTTGGTGGCCGATCGACTCAGCAGTTGTCATGGAGATCACAGTAGGTCCGGGAAAAGAACATCAACCCCCCCCATCTACTCTTGACCCACCAGTCCGGTCGAAACCAATTCATCCAAACACCGTCCAAGTTACCCCATCAGCAAGACTTACACTAGCATAGACCCCGGGTCGCAACTAACTCCAAAAACAGAAGAGCCTGGGACAAAAAGATCAAGCAAGTAAAAATAGAAAAAAACATGAGCGCTTCCAGCGGCCGTGAGCGGAGCCAACAAAACGCCAATCAGAACGGCCATTCAAGTGGGGAGACTAATGGTTCGAAGCACACAAAATAATTGAAGACGCTGCTCCAGCATATGCGTAGCCCCGATGAAAGCAATATGATGTTGCATGCAAGAGTATATACGTAATTACAACAAATATATGCAAACAGTACAACTGGATGTCGCACGTAAAATATATGCGTACAAAAGTATGCGGCAACAGTACAGTACAGCTCCTAGGTTTCACAAGCATCACGCGCAAGCGTTCAAGCGTTGCAAGAGCAACACAGAGCAAGACTAATCGAAAGACAGCACGGCACTAACTCTGGAGGTCCCCGCGTTCTCAAGCAGCCTTTGGATCAGACTCGTGTTTCAACGAACATGGCTATATCAATATAGAAAATGTTCAGATGCTGATCTAGCATATGTAATGCCCGATCAAAACAATATGATGTTGCGTGTATAAGTATATGGGTGGAAAACTATGCGGGCAAGCAGTGGAACACGATGTCATGGAAATAGATAGTAATACATATGTATATATAGAGATGCATACCTAACATATGTGCGCGAACAGTTCCCAGGCTTCACAAACACCACATGAGCAAACCAAAAGCACTCGACAAGCAACAAGCACAGTGCGATGCTGCACGTATGCGTATGCATGTCTGTATGCATGCATGCGTGTTTGCATGTTTGTATAATACAACGTTAATGTTAAACTTGATGTAGTGTAATGTAATGCGTGCATGTGTTCATTCAATGTAATGCAACGGTATGTACGCATGTAACAATGTATGTTTGCATGCATGCATGTATGTATGGATGTATGTATGAGAATAAATGTATGTAAAATATCCGCACAAAAAGCACAGTTTTAGGTTTCACAGGCGTCACACACAAATGTTCCAACGTAGCAGAAGCGCCAAAGGGGCAGAAGAATCAAAAACAACACGCCGCTACTCCGGGGGCTTCGCATTCTCAGCCCTTGGGTCAGACTCACGTTCAACGAACATGGCCAAATGTTCTTCGAGCAAATGCGCTACCCAAGGAAAACCCCATGATGTGGCCCGTATCCGTTTATGTGTAGAAAAGTATGCGCACAAAAGCCGTGCACAAACACAGCGCATGTGCCCATGCGAGCTAGGGCAGCGTGTGTACAAACAGTATGCGGGCAAACGTCCCCGCATTCTCAAGCAGCCTTTGGGTCAGACGCACGATTCAATCATCGCGTCTATACCAGTAACTAATAGATACACAGAAGTTCCTTGAGCAAATGCACTAACCGAGCACAACCCTGAAGCAACCTTGTGCTTACAAGCGAAGACGCGTACAGAAGCATGCGCGCAAATACAACAGTATAATGTTGCCCGAAGAATTTTTGCGTGCAGAAAGTGTACCCGCAAACAGTGCAATACAATGTTGCACGTATACGTTTACGTGGACAAAAACCTACCCTAGCACCATGAGCACCACACCACCACCAGCACCACCACTAGGACCCTCTCTTCACAACGTGCACAGCCAGCTCACACGCGCACCCAACACAGGCACCAGCACCAGCACACGGCACCTGCAGCGTGTCTCAAAAGCGAGAATGGGCAGCTCATTCTTAACTGAAGTAGAACCCCATAGCTATCGCTCTCTGGGGAAAAAGGTTTCAGTCTATGATCATCACAACAACCCATGTGTCGCATATCACAACGCCCTCTGAGTGTCACCTCGTGGCTCCCAGATGGACATGTCGCTGCTTCACGATCCGAAACAGAGGAGACGCACATCGCATGCTTGGCACAGAGGAGACACACGTTGGTTCCAGGGCGTTCCACATGAATGCAACATAGCTGGTGCAATGCAACATAGCCGCAGGAGTACCCCATGTGGGTTCTGACAAGGTCATTAAGTCAGTGCATGTCATTGCATGTCATTGCTTTCCAGCAAAAAACGCAAACAGCCGTCTTTCAGCCGCTCTCCACGTCCTTTTTCCAAAAGAAACATCCTGAAGCATCCAAGGGTCCCTCGTACGCCTTCGCGATCCAGGAGAATGCACTCGAAGCCCCAGCCTGAACTCGACGGCAGCCGGGGTCATCACTGGACTGTTAGGGATCAGGGACCCCCTAAAAACGCGGCTTTTCACACCAGGGTCGCGGTGAAGAGCTGCAAGAGCCCCTGGTTGGCGAATTTCCTGTTGATGGGTGTTCCCTAGCTTTCGGACAGTTGATTGACAAAGATGACAAAGTGTTTCAGTGTTTTCCCCTGCTCAAGTCTGACAGTTGTCAAAGCGAGCCACAATCCAAAGGCCAGAATGCCGCTTCTTCTCACATAGGCACTTCTTCTCTGCGAAAGTGGGCACAAATACAGTATATGCTCAGACACAACCTCTGAAGAAGCGTGAAGCGACCCGTGCACTGCTGTTTTCATGCAAAAGAAAGTGCTCAGCACCATTTTCGACCCGGATGCTGAAGCTAGGCAGCTAGAAGCAGAAACGAAGAAGCAGAAACGACTCGAAGGATTCACCACGATCAAACAAACCTCCATGATTGTTGAAGGCACGAATTCACAAACCTGTCTTCGATCTAGACGAAGAAGAAGCCGTGCTTTGAGACCGGAACCACCATGTGCACCATCCGAAAAGCGGAACCAGCTCGAGATCGAAGTTCGTGCTGTGGGTATTTGACCCACATTCCAAAAGACTTTCACAAGCCGAATTTTAGACCAGCCCCGGCCCACCTCGCAACGCCCGACACCTCATATGACTCATGGGAGCGAGTAGCTGGGCGGACATCGAAAAGAAATACACTTTGGTACAGAAAGAGTGTTAGTTTCCATGTCAGAGATCAGAGCTGATGATTGCCTCTCCGTCGCTGGGTGCCCCGGGCGAGCACGCAGCGCGGAACTCAGGACGCCCTGTCCTCCACCTCGCGGTGATGAGGCGGCCTTACAAGAAAATGCACCGCTTTAAGCAGCAGGTGACTGGGGAGAGCTCAGAATCTTGATTCATCAAATCCCCATGTCATGAAAAGGTTTTACAATCCAAACCGAGGGCGTCTTGATCAAGATTCTTCATTAGTGCTGTAACCCCTCAAAGGCTTCTCTGATTCTCCACTAAGCACCAGTAAGAACTAAGAACATCCATCAGACTTCGGGCAAGCTTGAAACTGCCTCCAAAACTTCGTCGTTTTCACCTTGATCCAAAAGCGATAACCAAACCTGCGCACGTGCGCACGTGCCTTGCCATCCCTTTCATTTGGAGGAATTCTCGCAATATCTCGGTCTCCTCCAACGGCGAACGGGTCACCGGCCACGCAGCCTCGGGAGATGCGAGCCCCGAGCCTTCACAAGGCCTGGGGGAGGAGCTGGGCCGCCTGGGGAAGGAAAACAAGTCGAAGTGAGAAACATAGATGCCACAGCGTGCTATGCTGTCCATGCCTCATGATGCCTCCACGCAAAAATGGAGATGGTCCACAATAGGAGATCCCACACCTTAAGTGTGACCAAACGTCTGCTAGTCCGCCTCCGCTTGAAAAAGGTCACCCAGTTGGCACCGAGTAGATGGCCAAGCTTCATTGAGAGGGCGCCTCGACCTCTACGCTAAGTTCAACCCCACCCAAAAAGGTCGAAACCTGTACTCCAAGGCGCTCCTGTCCCACATCCTCAGAAGGTAGGGACAAACCCATTGGCACGCACCTCAACCACCTTCGGATGTGGCACAGGAGCCCCAGTGACAGAGCAAAAAGGTCCAAAAGAGCCGGCCCCAGGTGGCTTTAGGTGGCTCCTCTATGGGGATCATCCTCACATCACGGGGTGAGGAAATGGGCAAGGCCAACTGGCGACAGCTCATTGGTGCAGGAAATGGCTCCCATGAATGTACAATACGCAAATCCCATCAGCGAAAAAAATAAAAAATAATAATAAATAAACATATGTAGAACAACTGTAAAAACCGTCTTGTCCATTTTCGAGTTGCTGCAGTTCATGCTGCTCCCTGCGGTCCTTGCCCATCCACTCCCTTTGCCCTTCCAAGGGTCGACAGCCAAACACGTCCACGCCAGACTTCCACTCCATGCGCCCGCCGCGCGACGCGCGGCGGCCGTGTCTGGCCAAAGGTCGGTCGATCCTGAACCTCTTCGATGTTGGGTACATCCCAACCTCCCAGGTACCTCCCAACCTCCCAGGTGGACGATGATGCTTAGTAAAGGCATGATGCTTAGGCCTCGGCCTTTCTCAAAAAATAGTGATCACCTCTGGCCGACGGGTACAGGTGTACTGGGACACACCCTGCTTATGTAGATGTGCCCCAAAAGCCTTGACTTGTGAGTCCTTGTGAGTTTGAACGTCTGAAAAAGGCTGCAATCTGGAGAAATTCTGCCTCCGAGGCATCAAGACCTCAACACACCCCACGTTTGGATATGTGGCAAACGCCCTGTAGCAACTGCCACTAGACATTCGGTCTCTCATCATCTAGGCTTCATCTTAGTGGTCTTGGCCATAAATATCATAAATGATTCTTTTGCCCTTGACGTGGATCAGGAAGAGTCCATGGGGGGACCTGATTCCCAGTTCTTCACTTTGGAGAGGTCTGATTCTCAACAAAAGGCGCGAAACAAAACACGTGGATGCAAATTGGACAGATTCAACTAGCAGCAACTAGCATGGTCTTGGGTCTCCGGTTTCTGGCACCTTTTTGTTAGGTCTCAAGGGATTCATCCAAGCTGCCAAGCTCAAACCATTTCGTCACCCACTTCTGCCTCCCTCGTGCCCGTTCCCTTCGAAGCGTCGGACGGCGGTGGGTTCCCAAGTGTTTTGGAGGAGAACCTAGGCCAACCTGGCCAACAGCCATGTTTCTTTCCCCCGCGATCTGCTCGAAAGAACTCGAAGGCGGCTTGAGTGTCCATACACTCCTGTCTTCCATCGAAAAAAAAAAAGATTGGGAGCTTGGCCACGCTTGGCAAATAGAGGAAAATGAGTGTGCATCCTACAATCACGCTGTGTTGGATCGACCATGAGAAGATCATGCTTGAGCGGATGGAGACTTTCCCTCTTTCTGGTCTTAAAAAGAATTCTCTCAAATGTTATCAAAAATATACAAAAATACCCAATCCATAAAGATGGGATGCCCGTCCCCTTTCACCCACTCAAAACAATGTGCTTAGACTATGACATATGTGGCACACTGTCTCCCCAAAGTCGACCAAGTGAGGACAACCACAACCCCCGGCTTCAGCACCTCCAACCTCCAGGTTCGACTGGGCGGCCGCACGTCTGACACCTCAGCTTGATCAGCTTTCTGAGATGGTTATGACTCGGCACTTCAGCCAATTCCTGGAACGACCCACACTGTGGTTTCTACAACATCCGCTACAGTATGCGAGCACCAAAACTCGAGTCTTTGTGTTTTGAACCTGAAAAAAGGTGGTCGGACCGGTCGGATCGGGCGGACGACAGTTCTGTGATCATCGATAGGGCGCTGCTTTAGCGTCTGACATGGTTCTGGGTGGGTGTTATTGGTTCACGATCGCGTCGAAGCATTGTGAAGAAACAAGAAAAATCCAGAAAAAACAAAACCTTGGACTTTTTGAGATACATGTAGATGGATGGCTGAGATCCAAGGACATCTCTCCCGGTCTTGTTTCTTCTTGACACCAGTTGGAGCGGTGCAAGCTGTTTCTTCCGTGTGCGGCCCGACCGCTCCACTTGAGGCACCGCACGCTGGAGACGCCGCTGGGCGCCAAGTCGGACCAACTCACGGAAATGCCCTGGAGAGTTTGCTGGCGCACTCTCTCCGGAGAGGGTGGGAGTGGTCGATTTCACGGAAGGCTTTTTTTCTGCCGGTTTGGATGCAGGGGGGGTTGGGGGGGGTCTGGAACTGGTCCACTTCCGGACGGCGGCTAGGCTCCAGGTTTGCTCAAGTGCAGATACTTTTGTGGGTTTTGAAACCATCAGATCATCCCCGGTTCAGGACAAGTCTTGAGCCTCAGCCAATGAGAAGATACACTGATCCGGGCAAGCCCTTCAGTTCCAAAACCTGGCCAGTGAAATCTATATATATATACATATATCTAAACGAAAACATCCTTCCACCCACTGTAAGTGAAGACTTCTTCACTTTGCTGGCTTCCTCACGAGACCCGATGGCACACAAACCCAGAGAAACCTCTCCTGCGCTTCCGGTATCGCCTGAGAGAGAGCAGAAAGAAAGTGAGAGAGAGAGAGAGAGAGAGAAAAAATAAATAAAAGAGACAGAGGGTCAGTGTGTGTGTCGGTGGGTGTGTGAGTGCGTCTATAGCCTATAGGCTTATCTCATTTGAGTTGCCACATCTTTGGGATGCTCGAGTTCGGATGAAAGGGTCGTCGAGGCCAGTCACCAGCATATTACCAAAAAAAATGATCAAAAAACGACATGTACTGTTGGGTTCCTTACATGATTGGGATGCTCTTTTTCGTTGGAAACCCAACTGTGAGTATCAACATGAAGGCGAATATGGACCCCGAGAAGGGCACCCTTCTCAAAGAACAGAGTTGTCCTCTACGAACCAGTCGTTTTCAGGCTCCAGTATTCAGCAGGGTAGACAACCGTTTCTCCGTGGTAGACCCGTTGCCCCTTCCGTAAAAAGACCGGTGAAAGTGATGAACTCTTGATGAACTGTGGCTCAGGATTCGCCCCAGCAAGGCTTTTCCATGCTTTGAAACCAACTCTGAGCTCTAGTGGATCTCTGATTCGAACCACTCGTCGCTAGTAGGTTGGACACCATCGCTATTAGGTTGGAGGCCATCGCTCTTAGGATTGGGGCCATCGCTTCTGAGGTCATTGCTATTAGTTAGAATCTTGACCAACATAAACCAATACTTTTGGCCTTGAACCTTGGAGTTTGAACTGGTCGCTCCAATGTCCGACCGAGACAAAGAGAGGTCGAGCTTCCCGGGCACGTTCAAGTTGCACTGCAACCGGGTCGGGGGGGACCTCTGAATCGCCCACTTTGGTGCAACATCCACTTGGA